ATACAGGGTTTTATTAAGAAGAAGGGGGGAGAATAGATGTTTGGGTAGTCAGCTAGTACCATAGGGTCACTCTGAACATAGAGAGCAGGAACATGTAGCTTTCTGCTACATTTCAGGGAAATAATGGTTCAGTATGGTACATTGGGTACTTTATTCCCTCTGATTAACGAAATGAATCGGGTAAATGCAAAAATTACAAATATTTTTACGGTCTGTCCTTTCTCTAAGAGTCAAATTCCAATTTATAATCATTCTAAATAATCACCAATTGTTGTCCCTTATTTGTGTGTTAAACAAATTTCATATACTTCAGTCTGGTGTTTTCCCAACCACACCACACATATTCACTTATGAAGTTAGTCAGTCAATTAACAAATGTTAATTTAACCCCTACACTATGTTCTGCAATTTGAAAGCTGCTGGAGAAGATTAAAAAGAGACAGGACATAAGTATATTGAATTCAGGGACTATCAAATTGGATACATAAGATCAAATAATATTCTAATACATATCAAAAGGCTTAGAAGTTTCGCTAGCTTTTTGACCTATCAATTCTACTCAGAAAAGCATAACCTGAGGAAATTAGCATGGATGCATGCAAAGATTTAACTATATGCATGGTCATTAAAGCATTGATTATAAAAACAGCAAACTAAAAAACTGCAATTTCAATAATAAGGGATCGTTCAAGAAGTTATGGTGCTCCCAAGCAACTGAATACAATGTCACTTAGATCACTAAGAAGGAATACTTATGACACATAATACATGTCCATGATTTATTAAGTGGAAAACACACATCTTACTGAAAAAGATGTACTTTTTACATTTTCAGTGCCATCTACAAGCCATCTCCCCCTTCTCTGAGAACTGTCCTTCAGGTCATAAAGACTCCAGTCCCCCTTTTTACTACTGGATTGTGTCTGCTGACTGGACCACCTTATCCAAGCTGGGCAATCAAATTCTGCCTCTTAGTAATTTGAAATTGAGATTTGCAAATACCACTCTCTTTCTGCTGGTGACTTGAATACATATAGCATAAATAACTCAGGGGCTGGTCTACGATTGTGTACTTTTAGCCAATACATGGAGAAGCAAAGAAGTATGTCTACGGAGAGAAAAGAATGAAGCATATCTAAAGAGAGAGGAACTGAGGCCAGAGACCATGTGTCCCCAAAGCATTCTGATGACCAGTTCCAGGTTCTAATCGTGACTTTGGAGTCCATTAGACACCCTTGTTTCCTTTGAATAATTCTGTCTTTGTTCTCTAAGCTGGTCTAACAGGCTTACTCTTACTTACAACCCAAGTTAGATCTCCCGTTTGAAACTGAAAGAAAATTAGCAATACCACCATTGCTCATTATGAGATATTTGGGCATTTGTGACAGTAGATATGGCAAATTGATGCTAAAAATTGTTTCCTTATCTCATGGGCAAGGTTCTTGGAAAATATTTTGGGGAAGGTTCTTTTGGATGAAAAATGTACCTGGTCTGTGCAGATATTTTCCTGTGGTTAGAGCTTAAAAATCACATTGAAATATTATAGGAAACCATTTTCCCAAAGATTTGTCTTTGTTAAGAGGATTTTACTAGAACTCAAGTTTGAGTTTGTTGCCAAATGGAACATTGAGAAAATTATTTTGGAGAATTTTTATCATAAAATATCTTCCTGTTAATCTCTAAACAAGTGATCAGGCTTTTTTATCCTATTTTGTTTACATCTATTTGCAAAGCTGTTATATCTGCACTTTTAGCTGTGAAGACCAATCATCTAAAAGGATTTATGTTACGCTCCGTCTCCCACATTAATTAGGATAGAAGGTTTTGTAGCAGTCAAGCAGCTTCAAATGCTCTTATTGATGTTAGGTTTTCAAAGTGAAAATAAACCTTGCTTTGTTTCATTCAGATTTTATCTTGAAACTTTAAAATATGTTTTAAAAAGAGGGTTTGAAGTACATATCTCTATCAGAAGTGGCCTACACTTTTAACAATTGGACAGACTGCTATAATACTATAGTAAGCATCCTGAGAGGGGTTTTAGTATTCTTCAGAGTTAGTATACACTATGGGATGTTGACTATGTCTGGGGCAGAACAAAGACATCAGGAATATGATCCACTTACTTCAGACAGCTTCCTGGTTGCATTAAAAAGGAGCCAAACAGGGGCCGGCCCCGTGGCTTAGCAGTTAAGTGCGTGCGCTCCACTGCTGGCGGTCTGGGTTCGGATCCCGGGCACACACCAATGCACTGCGTGTCGGCCATGCTGAGGCGGCGTCCCACATACAGCAACTAGAAGGATGTGCAACTATGACATACAACTATCTACTGGGGCTTTGGGGAGAAAAAGGTGGGGAAAAAAAAGGAGGAGGATTGGCAATAGATGTTAGTTCAGGTCTTCCTCAGCAAAAAGAGGAGGATTGACATGGATGTTAGCTCAGGGCTGATCTTCCTCACACACACACAAAAAAGGAGCCACACAGGCAGATCTTGCATGACCTCAGCGCTGCTCCTGGAATCACCCTCTGCCCACTTCACACATTCCTGGCATTCTCTTGTGGCGGAGAACAAGTGGAGTTGCCAGGTTACTGTTGATGAAGAGTAATTTTTGGAAGCAGAAAGTCAGTGTCCTGGTTCTGAATGATTCATCTTGCACTCAGAGGCATGTTAAACAGTAACTATTGGTTAGTCCTTAATCTGTTGGATCTTGCTCAACCCATATTTGAGTGTCCATGATGGATATATCACTTTTTTCTTTTCACTATCTTTCAAGTGTAAAATAGACAGATTATATTTCCCTTCCAACTGATTCAGAAATATGTGGTGCATTTGGCATTAAATTGTAAAAACAAAATGAATGTTTATTAAGTTAAGTGAAATGAGAGATGAACTTTCAGCTTTCCACATGAACTATTTATTAAAATATCAAATTGGATTTAACTTCGCAAATCTGAAAGTTTTGGAAAATGAGAAATGGGTCTCAGGAATGGGGGCCCCCATTTTTCAGCTGCTTCCTCCTTCTGTTCAGCAGACTCTCAGAGGTGTACTCCATAGGCAGTTTTCAGAGCCATCCTTCCAAAGGATTTATTGAGTTATGTGACAAGCTTCAAATTTGGATAAACCTCAAATTTCTTCATCTGTGAAACTGGAATAGTAATATCCACCTCACTGAATTGTTGATAGTAGAATGTAAGTGAAGCATCCATCCATATTATTGTATAAGGATATCAGTAGATGTACGCTATTATTATAGTAGGCCTCCAGGAATGGTAGCTATATACCACTTTGTTTATTTATTTATTGAAAGGATACTTTCACTTGGTTCAAAGTTCAAAAGATATAACGAGTTACATGCTGTATCTTTTTCATTTCTGTTTCCTAGCCACATAATTCCCCTCCTTAGAGTTAACAGCTGTATCAGTTTCTTTTGTATCTTGCTGGAGATATTTTGTATACCTAAAAGCAAAAATGTATATTTACATTCTTTCCCACCTTTTCTACATGAATGAAATCATACTATTCCATGTTTCCTTTTTTATCACTTAAAAATGTATCTTAGAAGTTGTTCATATAAGTTAAATTTGTTTTTAAGCAATTGTGCCTAAATTGATTTAGGCATAGCAGTGTATTTGTGTGTGTGTGTGTGCGTGAGAGAGGGAGAGAGAGGGAGGCACTATTCAGTGCCTCAGATAACTGTATCTATTGTGCAGGTGTGCTCTAATTTAGTTACCAATTCTAACCCTTAACTGCTGGATATTCATTCATTCATTTAACAACTATTTATTGAAGGCCTACCATGAGTCAGGCTAGGCCCTGGCAATACAGCAAAGCACAAAACAGACACAATCACTTCTGTCACATTCCAGGGACTGAGGCCGGACATCCCATTTTGCTCTGTCCTTCGCTGTGCGCTGCTTCCGAGCCCCGCGGCGCTCGGCGGGTGACTGTCCGGCTGGGACTCCCGGGTGGTCCAGCATCCATCTCTCTGGTGCGGGCTGAGGTCCCCGAGCGAGGGCGGCACACAGTCCGAATGACGGAACCTCCGGGGCCCGGGTGCGGACGCGGGGATGAAGGGAAGGCCCCGGGATGGGGGGAGCCCCGGGGGCGGCCCCGGGGCGTCTTTGGGGCACACGTCCTGGTGTGAGGGCGCGCACACGCCCGCGTTCCTGACCCCTCGGCACCGCGAGCAGCACAGGGACCTCGGAGATCACCTCCTTAACTACCCCACTTTACACAGACGGGAAACCGAGGCCCGGCGAAGCGAGGGCCGGGACTGAAGCCCACCTCAGCCGGGGGCGCCGGGGCCGCGGAGGGGCCAATGCACAGGGAGTCCAACAGCCGGGCAGCCGCAACGCCGGGCGTCTACCGGAAACTCGTGCGGGACGAAGGCCGCGGTCCCGCAAGGCGGGTGGCGGGAGCCGGGGCGGGGCGGGGCGGGAGGCCCGGCCCAGCCCTTTAAACTCCCGGCGCGCGGGAACCGCAGCCCAACAGTCCCGGGCGGGCGGGGCGGGATGGCGCGCGCCTCCCGGGCCAACGACCGCCCCGGCCCGCCCCTCTCCAGTCAGCAGCCCTCCTGCCGCCCGGCCTGTCCGCCCCCGCGCCCCAGCCCTGACAGCCCGCTCGGGGGGCGGCGAGGGGACTCCGACGCTGCGCGCCGCTCCGGAGCTTCGAACGCAGTTGGCCCTTGAGGCAGAAAAAAATACGAGAGCGGCGGCCAATGGCGCGGCAGAAAGGACCCGCGCGCAGCCCGGCCCCGCCCCGCTCCGCTGGAAAGCCGTCCAGGCCCGGCCATTGGCTGGCACGGCCTGTCACTCGCCGCCGCGGCCAGCCGGCAGGGGCCTCGCGGTGATTGGTTCCGCCCAGGCGCGAAATGTAACGCGGGAAAAGTCGGGGCAGGGACCGCGGCGGCAGGTTGTTATTTTCGGTGCTCGGCGCCGCGCGTCCTGCTCTTCTGTCACCGCGGGGCGGCCGCTGGCCGCTGCAGCCTGCGTGGAGAGCAGGGAGCGAGGCGGGCTTGACGGGGCTGGGGGCCGGCCGGGCCGCCGGGGCCGGCCGCCGCGCTGAGGGTTCCGGGACGCGTCCGCCTGCCATGAGCCGGCGGGACTGAGCGCCGGCCACTCGGAGCAGCGCGGGCGAGCGGAGCGCAGGGCTAGAGCCGGGCGCAGGGGTGCGGCCGCGCCGCCAGAGCTGCGGATCGAGGCCGGGCGATGATCCGGGGCGTGGAGGCGCCGATGGCGGACACCCCGCCGCAGCCGCCGCCCGTCATCTTCTGCCACGACTCCCCGAAGCGGGTGCTGGTGTCGGTCATCAGGACCACCCCGATCAAGCCCACGTGCGGCGGGGAGCCGGAGCCGCCGCCGCCGCTCGTCCCCACCAGCCCTGGCTTCAGCGACTTCATGGTGTACCCGTGGCGCTGGGGGGAGAACGCGCACAACGTGACGCTCAGCCCCGGGGCCGCGGTGGGCGCCGCCTCGGCCGCCCTGCCCGCCGCCGCCGAGCACCCGGG